GACCTATGACTGTTGTTGCCTCCTGTGAGCCGAGCACCCAGGCATCCCTGATCCGAATGGGATAGCTTGCCCAATCAGCTAATTGTTGGACTGCCAACATAGAAAGCTCCATTCCAGGAATGATTCAGGTTGCCCTCGACAATGCTGTGAGACCACTGAGCACTACTATCGATGCTCTAGAGGCCAGGATAGTAGTGTCTGAGCACGGTCAAGGAGCCACAGAGGAAGTAACATCCTTAAAGACCGTCATTACAGAGCTGAAGAAAGATGTGGACTACCTAAAGTCCACTGATATATCCATGATCTTTGGAACAGTCGAAGTTCCAGATGAGCTGGAAATGCCTCAGACTGCCACATGATATGGAACTGGAATGGAGCATACAACTGATCATGAATCAGAAGCAGAAACTGACGAAGAGATATTTGAGGAAGTTATAGCGAATGACATAGCCAAGACTGAAAATATCATGATAAATGTTGTTGTGCAAGCTTCTTTGGCAAAGTCTCTTGCTGCGGGATCCAGTGGAGCTGGTCCTTCTGGTGGTCACTCCGGATACTAATGCCATGGCAGATAGAGAGACTGTATAGACATGATCCTTCTTTACCTCTTTCTATGTCTTATCTTTCTTTACTTTGCCTTTTGGATTCTGTATTATTTGCATTTGAGGACAAATGATTTTTATTTGTGGTGGGGTGAGGTTCACCTTTTGTGTGCTATTTGTGATTCGTGTTTTGTATATATTTGGGCTGTTCTGTTTAAAATTGTGTTTGCACCGCTTTTTGTGGATGTTTGAGCTTATGGCTCCTTTTATTTTAAATTACAAAACGATTTTGACCCTTCCAAAAAAATATTATTATTTTTCAAAAAATTTCACCACCGCTTGTGTTGAAAGTTGTTGTTCTCGTACAAATTTAAGTCCCGGTTTCGATCAATATCGATGACTTGAATAGTGCTCTCAATTGAACGAACATGAACGTGCGGCTGCGATGAGACCAAATGAAGTTGCATAGATAATATGTGAACTCTTTGCATCTCGTTGTGATTAGCCATTTATCGAATTGATTCTCCTGTACTGACCATTGCACACTAGCGAAAGTGTGTAGTCTTGTTTGCTTTAAGTGTCGATGCCTTGTGTGATTAGCTTGCTTTGAACCATGCATGAATAAACCTAGAATTTGCCCTGTTAGTTTGATTGATTTAGAAAGGTGTCCTCTTGAAATGATCATAGGCAACTTTAAAGAGTGTGAGCCAAATTTGACATATACCTCTTTTGTGGCCTACCCGTGAGCGTGT